CCTGGTCTAAATGCTTCAAGACATCATCTGTGATCAAAACTAACACGATATTCGTGATCAGCACCCCGAAAAACCCCTTAGCAGCCACACTTTACGACTTTCTAACAGGTCCCGATTTTCCCGACTTTGGGTCATTGACCTGACCTGGAAGGTCAACCAATGACCTAGGACCTTAAAATTGGGTATCATCGGCTTCCTCTCGTCACGGGCAACACGCTCGTTTTTTCCGCGAAGCTCTAGCTCGATCAGGGGCCAAACGGCAAGGGGGGGGTCCAACCGACCCCCCCCCCCCCTACACATTAGAAGCTGGCAAACGCCGCACACATGCGAGGGTTAAAATCATTATGTTAATTATTATGTAATCATTATGTCAGTAAATTCGCTCAAATCATATCAAGAGTCGTCCACCAGTACCAATATACATATAGGTACCAATATAGGTACGGTACAGCACCGCCGCGATGCGTTCCCTCGTTAACGCGTGGCCTTGTTTGTGACCGAAGTTCCGGGAACAATGCCGTAAACTCTGCTATCGAAAAGTACACACGGATGGCAGCCCGCACCGCTAGGCCGGACCCGGCACTTTTACACGGTGCGCAGCGAGTGATTTCCTCCGATAGCCCTATAGTGATGTCCGCCAGTGATTATTAGCTAAGGTATGCTATTGTGCTGGGTTCTGCAGGCTCACAAAGCTAATGAATGGCACAGTAAGTACCATTCAGAAGCTCTCATGGTGTAAAGCTCTGTGATTCGAAGCCCTCTTGTATTGTTCTCGGGTCTTGGTCGAATGCATTAGCTCTTGAAACAGGCCTGACAAATGTTTTGTGGGGCTATAATGGGCTCACCTTGTTATCACATGAATCAGACAAAGCTCGACTGGAAACCTTCCGCCATATCGAGCCAGGTGGGAGCAGATGTTCCCAATAAGACAATTCAGACAGCTTTGTCCGAGCGCAGTTCGGCGAACTCATTACCCGTCCACCTGTGAGCGGCCATTGTACACCGAAAATAAACCGCCCGACAAATTCAATGGCTTGTATCGTTTGGCATCGCCGGTCGAACACTTAGCAGCGGACGCCCAAACAGAAAGCACTCGGGTGTAAACAACGCCCGAGACCGGCGGAGAATAATTCATCAAACATGGGCTCTCCGAAACAGCGGACGCCGGAAGGTTACAAGACCACAACAATGAGCACAGCGAGCAGCTCTGCGAAAAATAGTACCGACTTCTCCGTGCAGGCGATCGATACTCCACGGCTAATGGCGCAGAGAAACCGCAGACGTCTGTAAAAATGGCGCCGGCCAGGAATTTGGAGGAAGGTTTCAGCGATACCTTTTCAAGCGAGCTGAACATTCCTGAGGATGAGCGGTGCTGGCTTTGAGCTCCGTCTTTGTGTTCCGACAAATCCAAAAACCAGATCATCTGAGGTGTTTCAGACGGCAAACTGCGCACTGCGCAGCTGTTGCCGCAGAAAGAAAGAAAAAATATATAACGGGATCGAGCTCACACTAGCCTCACCCTCATGTATTTTCTATTGTATCATTATATATGAAATGCATAAGATTTATAGTGTAGCAGAATTACGTTTCACTTCAGGCACAAGAAATAAATTAAACACGGAAATGATGTCAAGCATAATCAATTCCATATTAGCCCTTTTCACGACGGGCTATCTGGCAAATGCACCTTATTTGATCAAATCTGCATCAAATCCCTTTTACAACAAATATATTTAAATTATGAGTTTATTTCAGTATTTTAAGTCGCATTAAGTGCTAGTCGCATCAGCATACAGGGTACCGAACACTACAGCACGCCACCTTGCCGCTGATTTCGACGATTTTGAAGCCCAGATTCAATTCATGACAGCCAAGTATCCACGGTCTACACTAGTGTTATGCGGTGATTTCAATCGTTGTCTCTTAAAAACACCTGTCAGAGACAATTATAGTATTCAACGACTGTTTGAAACGTACGGCATTGCGGTGACAAATAACACTAGAGCTACGTACCGTCCGTCTGGCAGCCTGTTAGACGTCATAGCGACCAATCGTCCTGATCTAGTGAGGAGAACGGGTGTAACGCGATGTCATTATGGCGGACCACATGATTTTACCCGCATCATACTCGCATACCCTCCTGTAGAGACCACAGGTACACGACAGAAGTATCTGTATCTCCGTCCAACAGGTAGGATTGACCAAACAGCTTTTAATTTGCAATTGTCTTCTGCTGATTGGTCAGACGTCTTATATTCCTGTGAAACCGGTCAGAAGTGGCATGCATTTAAGCATACGTTCCTGTTTCATTTGAACCTGGTAGCACCGCTCAGACGTGCACGTGTGCGTGAGCTCAAAACCCCACCTGTGACAGCTGAGACGCGGCGCCTGCTTATGAGCCGCCGTGCCGCGCTTGACAGCGGAGAGCGTGACGAGTACCTGCGCGTAAACCGGCTGTGCCGGGCCGCGATCCGCCGCGACTGTGTGTCCCTGTACAGCAGTGAGATCCGAAAGCGCGGGCGCAGTGGTCTGTGGCGAGTGTTAAAACCAGTGTTAGGCCGCAAGCAGCAGCAGTGCACGATTCCCAACGTCACAGCAGATGCTTTGAATGACTATTATGCGTCGATTGGTCGATTGACTGCTGCTAGTGTGCCGCCTTCTCCTGGTCCAATTCCAACGCTGCTCCCCCGCGTCATGACCTGTTCGTTTAAAGTGAGACCGATTGATTCCGACACACTGTGCATCACTTTAGCAAACATGAGGAACTCCAAATCACTGGGTGTCGATGGCATTAGCATTGACCTTCTGCAGAAATACTTCTTTGGAATTTGCATGCCTTTACTCGAAGTAGTGAATTCTAGTTTGGTCACAGCTACCGTTCCTGATTCTTGGAAACATGCATTGGTCACACCCATTCCCAAGGGTAAAGTAACCAAATGTCCAGCAGACACCAGACCGATCTCAATTTTACCTGCCATTTTGAAGCTAACCGAATGTATAGTTCAGCATCAGCTCGCTGAGTACCTTGACCAGCACAAATTGTTGGCTGATTCTCAGCACGGTTACAGGAAACGGTACTCAACTGAGACAGCCTTGCACGCGGTTACCGATCTAGTGCTGCAATCCATGGACGAAGGCAAAATTTCACTCCTTGTACTTGTTGATCTGTCAAAGTGTTTCGATGTAGTGCCGCATACTAAATTACTTGAAAAACTCTCACTATATGGAATAGACACCGCATGGTTCCGCAGTTATCTTGAAGGGCACACGCAGCAGGTACGGATGCCCGCGACGGAGCAGGCTGCGGATCCCAGCGGTGCTGGACATGTGCCGGCAGTCGCCAGCCAGCTGTCGAAAACTAGAGATGTGCCCATCGGTGTTTTTCAGGGTGGTGCGCTCTCTTGTTTACTTTACCTACTGTATGCCAACGACCTGAGCCTGTGTGTCAGTGAAGAAGTCAGCATAATACAGTATGCTGACGACACGCAGGTGCTAGTCAGTGGCAAGAAGCGAGACTTGCCCAATCTTATTGAGCGGATGGAAAACGCACTCGCGGCACTTTTCCGCTGGTTTAGCTGCAATGGTATGAAGGTTAATGCCCAGAAGACCAAGATGATTGTCCTCGGCACTCCTCAGATGCTCCGTGGCCTTCCACCTGTTTCGCTTAGCTTTAACGGGACGACTGTAACAGAATCGCGAGTAGTCAAGAATCTGGGGCTCACTATGGACAGATCGCTGAATTTTCAAGCTCACATCGACTGTATGTCTATAGAAAATGCTCAGGTATCCTTATAGCACTAAGTCATGCTCGTCATGTTATACCCGGCCAGGCACTCAAAGTCATAGTTGAGTCACTTGTGTTGTCTATCGTGCGATATTGTTTATCTGTCTACGGCTCGTGTGGAATTACTCAAGTGCACAGGATTCAAAACATTGTAAATTTTGGTGCCCGTGTTATCACCGGCAGGCGGCGAAGTGACCACGTGTCAGATGCAATCAAACTTCTAGGGTGGCTTACAGCTGAGCAGCTCATCGATTTTCACACCATATGTGCCTTGCAACGTATTATCCGGAACGAAGAGCCCACAGGCCTATACCTCACCATCGGTTCGCAAGCAGACGAGATCCACGATCACAACACACGTCGAGCCGTAAACAGGACGTTGCCGCGCATACGCACCGAGACGGGTCGGCGACGACTGTGTTACCGAGGCGTTTCGCTGCTGAATAGGCACCGACTGGATCCTGCAGATCGTAGTTTCCGCGTTAAAGTTAAGACGGCGCTGGGAGCTGATGATGGATGATGCTCTGCGAGTGTCAGTCGTTCGTCGCCAATCTTGAATTGTGGCATTCTCACAGGCATCAAACTGAGTCCCCCCCCCTTTTACTTAGTCATGTGTTGTATTAGGTATTATGTGAGTGTTTGCGTGATTGATGTGCGATTTTAATTATGTCTGATGTCCCAGTAACATTCCCCATTGATTTACTGATTGACGTGAGAAAGTGAAAAGCCCCGTTTTACGCGGACCTTTTTCGAATAAACTGATTCTGATTCTGATTCTGATTTAATCGAAAATAGCGTCCAATAATTTGAAAAACGAGGACTATAAAGTATAAGCATCTGTGCAACCCAAACTGACAACTTTAAAGTAACACAGAGAACCTAATTCGATCAAATCTGCACCAAACCTGCACCAAACGTGGATCAGATGGCCGTCGTGAAAACGGCTATTGTCAAACACTGCGAAAGCTAAAACCCAACTGTATGTACAGCACACACGAAATAGAATAATGGACATTTGAAATAACAAAATGCCAAAAGTAACGCTATCAATGAGAACGAACTCAACTCAAGAGGCGAGCTTCGGTTTCTATGTATGTAAAGCGCCCGCGATGCGCTGCGTCTGTCGAGCATTATGCTCCATATTCCCACTCCCAAACGTCCCAATGACACTGCGAGCCGTTTACAAGCCCATCTAACTCTGTCTGCCCTTCCACAGATCACGGCCGCAGGATGACCTAAGCCGCGCCGCCGGCCATGTCCAAGGAGGGCGAGACGACCGACCCGGAGCGGCGTCGGCTGCGTCAGACGGCCGCCATTCTGCTCGGCTGCCACCTGTTGGAGCTGGTGCTGACTGTCTGGCTGACGGCTGACCTCTGGAGCCAGCAGCGGCGACCGCTCTGCCTGGCGCTGCTGGCGCTCCTGGTGACCGCTAATATACTGGTGGCCGCCGCTAGTCTGGTCTGGGTGCACCGCCAGCTGCGTTTTGGAGATCGCTGCGCCGGGAGACTGGTCTGTTACCTGCTGCACGCGGTCGGCGGGGCGCTACTCTGGCGGGCGCTGAAGCTCGGTCTGGTGTTTGACGCGCGTGACGTGAGGGAGTTTGCCACCCTGCGGCACCTGCTGGTGCACGTACAAACCCTGCCCGTGTGTCTGGTGCAGATGTACGCCAGTTACCAGACGGGCAGTATCGGCGTGTTCCCGGCGGCGCCTGTGGTGGCGTTGCTCGCCGGCGCCGTTACCACGGTCGTGCTCGCCAGCTCTGTATTCTCTCGCGCCAGCGGCGGAGGAGGGGGAGAGCTGGGGAGGTCCGGGGGCGGCGGCAGCGCTCTGAGCCTGCCCACCCTCCCAGAGCCGGCCGACAGCCCGCTGGCAGTGCCGCGCGGCGCCGCCGCCGACTGGACGGGCGCTGATGACGCCTGGAGCCGACTGCTGGTGGCCGTGCAGGCTCTCTGTCTGCTCTGGGCGCGGCTGACAGCGCTGGCCACGTTCGCCAGCCTGTGGCTGGGCTGGGCGGTGGGCGTGGTGGCGCTCCACTGGACGCTGGCCGCTGTCTGGCTGGCCGCTCAGCAGTACCTCACGTCCGAGCAGCGCTCGCCGGCCTCCAAGGCCGTGCGCGTGGCCTTCCTCGCGTATCTCCTCATCTTCGACTGGCAGGTAGGTACGGCCACCGGTCGGCTGCCGCGCGCGCCGCCCGCTCCAGATTCGCTGACCGCCCAGAACGGTATCTTGCGCCGCTAAAACGCCCCGATAAATCGCTGATAAAACAAATGTGCATTCTGATTGGACGGACGGTTTGTTAATTTAATGTCCTCGCCAGCATGGGTCCCGGGTAACAAACGTATTTTCACAGATTTATGCATGCCTTTGTGAAATATGAAGCGGCTCCACACATTTTCGTGGAATGTTAGTGCTCATTTCTTTTGTGTAAATGACAAATGACTAACGATCGAGACCGGCTTTTTTACATTATTTTTACTACCACCTTACCAACGCCAGATGATGTCAATCATCAATATGTGTGATGAACACGATTCTTGACAGGTACACCATGTCCACTCATTCAATGCAAGCATCTGTGCATAATTTGAATTGATTTGCAATTCATGAGCGGGGCGGGTGCATCCAAAAGTATGTGGCGTTTCCGGTGATGGCATTCTCAAAATACGATGTTGCTGAGTGGGATTAGTGCATCTTGCATCCGCAAGCTTCCGATTGTGTTCATGTTTACGGTGTTTTGCACATAGCTAACGTCCCTGGTTTACCTCCGAGCGTATGCGTTTTTTTTTGTGTGTGAAACCGTCCATGAATCTTCTGGCTATCCCGTGTCTAAAAATTAGGTACTTAGCTAGCATCCCGCTTTCGCCCTTTTCCGACTCCACTATGCGATGTAACTTCAGCCCAATAGCATGTCTCAGGCGCCTCTAACGCACCTCTGTTCTCTCTGCTCACAGGTGAACCGTGACTCTGGCAGCGCTCTGACGGTGTGCGCCCGGCCGCGAGCCGCCGCCGTTTACTACCTGGCCGTGGGCCTGCAGAACGCCGTGCTGCTCGGCCTCTGGGTGGCCTTTTCTGCCCACATCCCGCACACAAAACTGGCCACGGTGACCGGAGCGGCGGCTACGTTCTCGGTCGGCGCTGTCATCCTAGTGATGCTCTACTGCTACTCGGCGGAGACGGCACTCGGCGCGCAACCTGAGCACGTGCTGACGGCGCACGTCGGCGAGAAACCCAGCTCGGTCAGCGAGACGTACGTCGATTATAAGCTCGAGGAGGAGAGTGCTGCCGAGAGGAGACGCCGAGTGGGGAATCTCTACACGGCGTTCCCAGTGCTGTCCAGATCAGACCGCTCGACGGATAACCACTCGGCAAACTCCCGTAACACGAACACCCTCTGTGAGCTGGAGGTGGGCCGGGGAGAGCCACTGACGCTGGCGCCGCGGCGGCTGCGCCACGGCTCACCCGGCTCCGACACAGCTAGCTCGGCATCGCGTGCCGCCGCCGTGGCTGCCGTGGTTGGTCACTGCGTCACCAGTACGCCCAAACGAGCGCCCTGGGAGAAGACGCCGTCACGACCGACCCGACCGTCGAGACAAACGAGGCACGTGTGCGCGCCAGGTGCCGCTTGTCATTGTCGACTCTTCGACGCGCACACGGGTCTTCATGTGCTGGAGCCGCGTCATCCGGCCGGCAGTCACACGGACGGACGGCCGTTCCGAGTTCTGTGCGCCGGCTGTCTGCGCGCACACGACCCACTGCTGACGCCGTGCGCACCGCTGCCGGCCGGCACGGCGCACATACACGGCGCGCCCACCTCAGTCTCAACCACCGACTACCCGTCCGTGTCAGAAGCCTCTGAGCGGGCGTCTGTCTCCTCCTCAGACGGCTCAGCGCTCTCCTGTTCAACCTACACCACTTGGCCGCCGCGCTCCGTGGGCGGAGAGCCTCTCTCCTGGCTGCTACCACCCGACCTCACTGGCCGGGAGTACGTCCAGGCCTGGCTGGAGCTCTGCGGCCAGCGGCCGCCGCCCGAGGGCCGGCCCAAGAAGAAGCTCTGCCGTCGCCAGCACGCAGGATGTCCGCAGGTCGGCTGCGGGGGAGTCGGTCAGCCCGTCTCGCCGGCGACACGACCCAGAAAGCTGTCCAAGAAACAGCGGCTGAAAGGCGTCCTGCTGAAGAACAAACTGTGCAGAAGGGCGGGACGGCTGAGGGCGAGGAGCGTCTCTCCACGCCCGAGCGAGGTTCGAAATAACACGCCACCAGCGCCCCTCGTAGCGGAGAGGCGAACTCCACCAGCGCCGCCCGTGGAGCAGGCAGCAAACCTAGCGCCTCTGGCGGCAGAGAGGCGAACCCCACCAGCGCCACCGGTGGACCAGGCAGCGACACTAGCGCCCCTTGACAATGCACCGGCGCCCGCACCTCTGCCAGCGATGAACAATGTACCGAACTTTGTACAAAATGTGGAGGCTTACGTTTAGTTATGTTCAAATGATGACCATTACCTCAGATTTGCAAGGGAGCTCGCCGAGTGTTGAGCCGCCCGCAAGTACGGCTCTCAGTCATAGACAGGGTTTTGTCAAGGTTGAAGGGATAACGACTGCAACCAGTAGATCAAAGAAATGGACTTTGTCGTTAGTGCATAGCGTTCGATGTTTGCTTTGCAATGTATGATGCTGATTTTTATGTTGTCAACGGGTACACTGCCGTGAACTTCGCTGCTTTTTTAAAATGTTTTCATTTGTGTAAATATGTGTTTCAAGTGCATATTTATTCAGACCTTGGGACATCGATGTTCCTACGACTGGTGACGTTTACCGAATTATCGAAACCTGCTGTAATTGATTGACCGATGTTTACCTTGTTTACAATGTCAATTTCCTTCATGTGTACGATCCTGACACATGAGTCGTGTCCTCGCCCACCTGATACCCTGTTACTTCAGTCAGCACCTCCGTACACAGCGCTGTATTTGCGGGCAGCGCTCGCCTTGCTGAGGTTCCTATCTCCTGCCGCGATCAGCAGCGCTCACAGCTCTGCCCGTCAAGTTCCTAGTTGTCCCCCATAGCCTCGAGCTCGCGGTAACCATGCTGCTCTAGTCATTGTCCGGGGCGTGCGCATATGTTCGACGTGTCTTCATGTTCTATCCTGTGAGATTTTCGGAAGGTGAGGCTGAGTCGCGAGAAACGCAGTCGCTTGGCGGATAAGTGGGTGCTGGAAATATTGCAGAGATTTGGCACGGCGCCGAGGGTTTATCATGTCCTCCTATAAGTGATGAGGGTGACCGCTGTTCGCATGTTGAACGGTACCAGCGAGCTACCGTGATGGTCGAGCGGTGCTTGGGTCAGTGTGGCCGTATAGAAACGATTCGAGAGATGACTTCGAGAGATGACTCGGAAAACGACTCGAGAGGTGACTCGAGAGATTCGGAGTAGTTACCTCCCGACTCGAGCCGCTCAAGATGGCTCGCGGCTCGACTCTTGCCAGCCTATATTGCGGACAGAGCAATAAACGACTATAAAAGGGATGACCGTCTTTTGTTTCACTTATCATCATTAGTTATGTCAATTACAGGAAATCGGAATACCGATACCAAACCAAATACCAACCAAAACCATCAGGAAATACCGAAACCGAACCAACTTGAGAAGATGAGGAAAATACCAACTTTTTACCGATTTTTCAACCTTGTATACATTAGCAAGGGTTCATAATACCAACACAATACCAAAAACAATCGGATTGAAATACCAAATACCAACTTGGTATCGGTTTGGTATCGGTATACCAAAAAGTTGGTATCCGATTGACATCACTAATCATCATCCTTCATTGCTTTTCAGTAGGACTCTGTTAACCCGCGCCCGGCTGGGGGTCCTGAATTTCCACGCCTTGCTGGGGGGGGGGGGTGTTTGAACACCCCCCCCTTCTAACTCGGCTCCTGGGCCACGTAGCGATACGCGGAAGGCGGCGTTCGAAAAAGTGTCAAAAATAATGAGGAAATCACTTCGGTCAATTTTTTGGTCAGGTCAAAGGTCAGGTCACCAGAGGTCATTGAAGGCAAAATTTCGCCGATTTCCAGGTCGAATGTCGACAATTTCCAAGAATCCAACGCATAACTCGGGAACCAACAGAGCTACAGCGCCGCGGAAAAGCGCATTCGATAGCCCTATTAACGCCCTTTCTGAGTAATTTTCTCAGATTTGACCTAACGTCAACGGTTTTGCCTGCAGGGGGCAAAAACTGCAAAAATAGCCGATTTTTTCGGAAACAGTTTTTCTGCAATAACTTTTGACCCAAGCCTTGTACGAGCTTACTTTTACCGGCATCGTGTTCCTCTCGTCAAGACGCATCGAATGAACTATAATTTGACCTTGAAAGCTCAACTTGAAAATTTGACCTCAGGTCAAGGTCATGACCTGACCGGAAAGGGTCATGTTGCATATCAGTCGATCCGTATCGTCGAGCTGAACACATCTAAGGCGTTTTCATCGCTCTAGCATGCCTCTATCAAAAGTACGTTACTTACTACGTTACATACGTTACTCGTTACTTACTATGCCAATGTTCGTTCAATTTTGGAATACGGTTGCGTGGTCTGGGCGGGAGCGGCCAAATCCCACACAGAGCGGGTTGATCGTGTGCAGCACAAATTCTTGTTGTGGTTGAATAGCCACACATCCTCGCCATGTTCCTCTCTGTCCTATCCTTCTCTTCTGCATCATTTTGGTATTACATCACTGTCTGTCCGTAGAAACCAACACGACCTGCTCTTCCTGAGGAATATCCTGGCCGGTAAAATCCGTTCTTCTAACCTCCTTGGTAGATTTCCGCTCCATGTGCCGCCGCGATCAACCCGCTCACAGCGGCTCTTCGCCGAGCTTCCCTGGCGCGTACGGACCGTCGGGGATGGTTTTCTGCGCCGACTACCGAGGGCCATGAACGTGTTTTTAACTAGAAGTCCCGCTGATGTTTTTAGCGATAGTTTCTACACTTTTAGAGGACACGTTTTAAACTATGTGAAAGGGCTGGAAGCGGCGTGATCGCATCCGCTGTGCTTTTAGTGTTTCTTGTTTACTAGGCTTTTTAGGCTATTATTCATTTATTTACATCTCCTGTGTTTATAACCCTACGTGTTTTTATCTTCAGTGTGTGTGTGTGTATGTAGGTGTGTGTGTGTGTTGTGTGTGTGGGTGTGTGCTGTTTTACTGTCTCTTTGACTTCGCCTTTTAGGTGGACTTATTGTCTGTTGGCGATTTTAAATATACAAATTTTTTTAAATATACAAAGTCATTTGCGAAAAACTGTTAGATACCATTCGTGACCTAAGATGACCTCAGGGCATAAACAGGGGTCACGGACACCATTTTCATGTTCAGTGTGTCTAAAACACTTGTAATTCAGTGTTTGGGAGTGTTTATAGTGTCTTTCGTCCAAAAGAGGTGCATTTCAATTTTCTCCCATTGACTTATAATGGGGAGGTCGCAAAATTGACCTGACCTTAGGTCATCGATATCAAAATTCTGAGATATACATTTTGTACATGCTATTGCTCTTAGCAATCGCTGAAAGTTTCAAAGCGATCGGTCACTCGGTGTAGCTATGACAGACATTGAAACTTTTTATGAGGTGAGGTCACTTCAAGTGACCTGGTGACCTGACCTTGAATGACCTTGGTCTGAAATTTTCACAACATGAGTAGAATTGATGTATGATAAGGTGTACCAAAAACGGCGGCGCCGCGAAAAACCACAAGGGGGGGGGTGTTCAACCCCCCCCCCCCAGCAGGGCGCGGGTTAAGCATGATGGCCGATCAAATGCATAGTTACACACCATTAATTCGTCAGCGAGGACATCGCCAGGTGGGCAATCCCGGTCATTTCGTCCTAGCTTGACATGCAGGCGCAGCTTAGCGAGCAAAGCGAAAACCGTAAAACGTTCCAATGATTCGAGGCATCAGCTGGCAGCCATGGCACGGTACTATCACACTCACTTCAGCGCTGGGTTGGCACGACGCTGTAGCTCGTAGCCAGCTTCAGAACGAATGCAGGGTTCTTGACAGTTGACATCGTCCAGAAAGTCTTAGCGCCCTCCCTCCAGCCAAGCGAACGAAAAACACTGCAGGAGTCCTGTTAGGAAGGGGAGCAGCTCGTTACGTGCCATCGGTTCTCCCCGGCACTTCCGCTTGCCGCCTGAGATCGGCATCATGAGACGGTCCTGCCGGCGGCTTGAACCGTCTCAGAGGTACCAACACGGGCAGCAGTTCGCCGAGTCGCTGCGTCTCCAGGATGACGGCCTCGGTGAAGGGCAGCCGCTGTCTGTCGGCGAGCGTCGGCGGCCGCTGGCGGCCCAACTATGTGTTCAGCTCGGCCTGCAGCCGGCGCTGCACGTCCGGCCGCTGGCAGAGAAAGCCCAACGCCAGCGTCCAGCGCAGCGTGTTGGCCGTCGTGTCGTTGCCAGCAAGGAAGAGCCTGGCATCCTCTCCGGGTGGTGGTGCTGCTGCTCCTGCAGCAACGCTTCAGTACCTATAAGCTCGTGGCTCGCCGGTCAGATTTAGATCTTAACGATGTTGCTCCAAGGCTGGGGTAAATGCCTCCCGGATCTGTTCACCAAATTACCTCTCTTTCTTCGCCCTGTTGAAGACGAACTCTGGGAGGATCGCATCCAGCCACGGGTAGACATCCAGGATGACGAGCTTGGCCGCGTACGTTGACGCCCTCCATCAGCTCAGTGGATCACGTTCTGGATCTTGTGGTCGGTTATAGGTATCCAGCTCCTCAGACGCCATTAGACCCAGAAGAATGGATGTTCAGCACGGCAACGTTAAGCGTCTGGTCGATGGTAATGCAAGATGTTGGGCGTCGGGAATAGATCCATATAACCCTTGATCTGATGATGAATATAAGCTTCTAGCCTCGATTTCCCCACACCAAGGCTGCGCAGAGGAGGCAGCGTCAGCGACCGGGAGTGCTGTCACAGTGGCCCTTCCGAGAAGGCCAGGCACTGACGTTTGAAGACGAAGTGGGCGAGTGCCGTGTCGGGCCGGTGGGCCACCTCGCTGCGTCCGAACGCCTCGCGGATCAGGTTCGGGCTGCAAAGTTGTACAACCTGGTTCAGCAGCCCCACTGGTCGTACAGCTGAGCAGCTCACTACTATGCATTTCAGACCCCATGAGACCCTGCTTTTCGGCAAAAATTTCTTCAATTTTTGTCCAATTAGCTTGAAATTTTGACATTAGACATTTCAGCTCAAGCGCCAATTTTCATCAATATGGTCTCTTAACAAAATATCAATATTTAGAGCACTTATCATAGGCTCGTAATGCTAATAAGATTTTGCACCCGGATAGAGGCTCGTTCGCTACCGCAGCGGATTGGATGGGAGCGCTGGCCAATCACGTTGCGCCGGGCCCAACTAAACTCCGCCCACTGGCCGTGACCGCGCTGGGTCTATGCCGGCTCAGTCGGCGGCAGCACCGCGGGGAGGTCGCACGGGGTCCGCGCGCTGGAAACATGCATGGAATCGACAGGAAGTGTCTGAGCGAAAGTTTGCTCTTCATTTGTGGGAGTTGGTAACCGCTTCTCTCTTTTTGGTATATTAGGTAACACCGATCCAGCTCAGAATATGAAGAATAATCATAATGAGGATATCAACCTCCCCAGAACCAACCTTAAATAGAGAGCTGAGTCATGCACTATCTGAATATCTGAATGAATGCACATTCTGGCGCTTATCTCATGGTCAGGTCGTGCCATTGTTCTGTCACCCATGGCATGCGATGCCCCTGCACTACTCGAAAATATCGATATTGTTGCTTCAATCGCTGCGTTGCGTTGTCGTTGCGTCAATCGCTGTTTCTGAAGACGCTGTTATACCTATGCAGAAAGCAACGGAGTAAGGATGATGAGTTGCGAGCACTTCCGATTGCCTAAGACGTCGCTCTAAGAGCTGTGTTCGTAATTCGGGAAGCGTTGAGAAGGGAGCAGAAATGTGATGTGCGATTTATTGCGCATGGTAGAAATGTGACATCAGAATAAGGGAAACAAGCGCATTGGCTATAGATGGCTATAGTAAAGAAATCGCGTCTTTTTGTCAAACTAAAGTAACTTTTCAAGCTCTCCAATAATGAGGCAGTAGGCTACTTACTTACAGGTATTTTAATTATTTGTAGTTCAACACGAAATCCTGGGATCAAGTCAGTCCGGTGACCTCAAACTAGCCAATTATAAAATGGGTTAGTTCTGAAGGTGTTCATGTTGCACCGCAATCGCATGAATCCATCTCAAGGATACGCATAAGCATAATATATTTCATATTGCAACCACATTTCTTAAATGCTACGGTGTAGGTAAATGTTTATCATGTCTTGCAAATTTGACGTAAGCTGACCGACGTCTTGCATCAGTTCACAGTCAATTGACATCAACGTTTTTTTAATGACGTTAAATCAAGCAAAAATGCAGTCACTAGCCCTGAACTTACTGAACTTGTAACTTACGCAATACCCATATCTTTATTGATTGACATGGTGTAGGCTAATTTGCGATAAATGCCATAACGAAGGCTAGTGTGCTAATTACGAGCGTTAGTTTCTGCTGTATCGTTATTACTGCAACGGCGACCGCAAGGAAGCCACGTCCAATGCGAGCCGCCCCGGTCCGGCATACGGCGTTGGGTCCGGCAGCTACTGCCCCGTCGGCTCCACGCATCCGACTGACCGGCCAAGGTCACCGCTCCGTCCGCCGTGAGGGCGGAGCTTAATGGTCACGTGCCTGTGACGTCACACCTACGTACGGATAGCCTCTACTCCACTGACGGATTTACGGAGCTGATTTTAACATTACGAGGCAACGACAAGTACCCTAACAATTGATATTTTGTTAAAAGACCATATTAGCGAAAATTGGCGCTTGAGGTGAAATGTGCTTTGCGAAAATTTCAAGCCAATTGGATAAAGATTAAATAAATTATCGCCAAAAAACAGGGTCTCATGGGGTCTGAAATGCATAGTAGTGGCCATGACCGAGGTTGAAGGACAGCGGGAGCGCCGATGGGGCAGCACCGATGCATCGGACCCCTTTGCTGCCAATTGCCATCGCGATGGCAGCAAAGGGGACCTGAAAACCGAGTTAAGGTACAATTAAATTACCGTCGAACGAACGCCAATCGGGTTCCTTCGCCCGGACTACCCATAGCTTTGACCGATCCAGGGGCGGATCCAGGAAAACTCCAAGGGGAGGGTCATGAATCGAAGTGGTGCCCCTACCTATACCCAAAATTAAAAACTCAACGGATTTCGTCCACTTCATTTTGGTGGTGCCCCCATTTTCAGTTTTTTTTTGTTTGTTTTTTTTTATTTTTAGTCAGTATCTTAACTCTTAGCCACAACCACATTTACCAATTGTAAGCAAGTATATATGAATGTGCTATGTGTATATATGTTGTGGACGCTGAGTAGTGAGTACTTACCAGGAACGTTATTGTAAGGTCTTCGTCGTCTAAATTTGCGGCATTGTTTTGCGCCCGTAGTTTGAAAACCGTCAGGTCACCAAATTGTAGACGGTCAGAATAGACTGGCCGTTCATGCGTGTGTCGGGGGGACGGTGACTGGCGGTGCGTTAGTGCCTGGGTGCCAGGTGCGTTCGAAGGACATGGCCTTTGCCTCATGCCTGTTTTTAGAACGCACTACCGCCTCGGGCCGAGTACAAAAGCGGTGAATGAGAGTGAAGCGGGGTCTTCGGTGCCAGTTCGCTGCTGAGTGCGCTGCTCCGAGGCCCCTCCGACGAATCACCGCTGCTGGCTTGGTCTCAAGGTACGGTCCCTGGGCACTGGGAAGATGCGGGCTCAAAGGTCTTCCTATAGATAGGTTTGGAGCAAGGGGAGGCGGTTAACCTTTTATTGCGAATGCGTTAGGGTATGATAAGGTAGTTTTGCGCGTTATTTTGGCGGCCTTATTGATGTGTTTATGTTCTCATGGCAGTCCATTACTATTTTGGTGTAAATACATTGGGGCTAAATCGATAGCATCTTTACATGGAGGTTTTCACGAGAAGGAGGAATGAAAGAGCGGGAGCATTTTCAGTCGGCACTATAGTCCTGCCAGTTTGACTTTGAGTGGCTAAGTGTTTGGTGCATATTAGATTAGTATACCCATCGGCACGCTACCAACCGCGTGGCTACCAAATGGCGAGCATTCACCACTGAACCACCCGAGTAAAACGGCCCCACAGTAGTTGCATATATAGAATGACAGTGGCCCGGGTGGCAGACGGGTTAACGGCACAAAGGGAGACGTCCCTGCCTAACACTAGTCACGTAGAGTAAAGTAGCAGATAGCTGATAAAGGGGGAGATAGCGACAGACCCACAGGACCCGGGGCTCGAGTCTCCACCCCTACATTATCAGGTAAGCAAATCGTTGTCAGTCCGACGAACTTGACCCTGGCGTCTAAAGGGTCTGTCCTTGACACTTCAGACTTGTCAGGGGCACCAAAGTCCTTCCAGGGACACCACAAACCTGTCAGGGGCACCTACGGCCTTGTAGGGGCGCCACAGGCCCGCCAGGGGTACCACAGGCCTGCCATGAATCAGGGGCACCACAGGTCTAGCAAATATACACGACAGGCCTGTCAGGGGCACAACGGGCCTGTTGGGCCCATGAGCACCCCTAGGGGCAGGGGCACCACAGTCCTTCCAGGGGCACCGCAGGCCTGTGAGGGGCACCAGCGGCCTAGCAGGGGCACCAGTCAACACAGGCCTGCCAGGGGCACCACAGACCTGCCAGGGGCACCAGAGGCCTGCCAGGAGCACCACCGACCTCGCAGGGGTAACTTGGGCCTGTCAGGGCCCAGGGGCACCACGGGCCTGTCGAGAGGCACTTCAGGCTTTTCAGGGGCACCATAGTCCTCTCCGGGCGCAGGGGTAGCAGGGGCACCAGAGGCCTGCCAGGGGCACTACAGGCCTAGCAAGGGCACCACTGGTCTATCAGGGGCACCACGAGCCTGTCATAGCCAGGCATCTCAGGCTTGTCAAGGCCCAGGGGCACCACAGGTCTGTGAGGGGCACCAGCGACCTAGCAGGGGCACCAGTCAACACAGGTCTGCCAGGGGCGCCACAGACCTGCCAGGGGCACCACAGACCTGCCAGGGGCACCAGAGGTCTGCCAGGGGCACCACCGGCCTCGCAGGGGCACCTTGGGCCTGTCAGGGGCACCTTGGGCCTGTCAGGGGCACCTTGGGCCTGTCAGGGGCACCACGGGCCTGCCGAGAGGCACTTCAGACTTTTCAGGGACACCAGTCCTCTCCGGGCGCAGTGGTACCAGCGGCTTAGCAAGGGCACCAGAGGCCTGCCAGGGGCACCAGCGGCCTAGCAAGGGCACCAGAGGCCTGCCAGGGGCACCACAGGCCTAACAAGGGCACCACGGGCCTGTCAGGGGCACCTTAGGCTTGTCAGGGCCCAGGGACACCACAGTCCTTCCAAGGGCACCGCAAGCCTGTCAGGGGCACCAGAGGCCTGCCAGGGGCACCACAGGCCTAGCAAGGGCACCACTGGCCTGTCAGGGGCACCTCAGGCTTGTCAGGGCCCATGGGGCACCACAGTCCTTCCAGGGGCATTACAAGCCTGTCAGGGGCACCAGAGGCCTAGCAAGGGCACCACAGGCCTGCCATGGACACCACAGGCCTGCCAGGGGCACCACCGGCCTTGCAGGGGCGCCTCAGGCCTGTCAGGGGCACCACGTGCCTGCCGGGGACACTTCAGGCTTGTCAAGGGCGTTACAGTCCTGTCAGGGCCCAGGGGCACCAGGCCCGTGGTGTCCCTGCTAGGCCTGTGGTGCCCCTGGCGGTCCTGTGGTGCCCCTGTCAGGACTGTGATACCCCTGATAGGCCGGTGGTGCCCCTGGCAGGTCTTTGGGCCCCCGGGCCTCAAGGGGGGGGGGGGCCATGACCCATGTGACCCCCCCCCCTTGGATCCGCCCCTGGACCGATCTTGCCATTGTCTAAGGCATCATCCCACGTCGCGAATCTGAGAACGGATAAGTCATGACCACTAAAAACTTCTTGTCACGGTAGTGGCGCACAAAAGTTTATAAATGACGCACCCCGAAGCGCAGTCAACAATCGAAAGTCGTGGGGGCGGTCCGCACGTCGGAGCAAGCGGAGGGTGAGGGTGAAGGTGGGTGAAGGTGGAAACTCAAACTGGAAAGATACCGGCCCGTCGTGCGTTTTTTTTGTGATTTTAGGTACCTACCTGCCGCTGTTAATGGAGCTGAGTTTTAAGAAGATCTGGTTTCAGTTTTGCTCTCAGGAAATATCAAGGAAACGTTGAGATCAAGGGCCGGAACTTGAGATCTCAACTAAGCATTCCAAATAGCCATTTTTTCAAACTTCTGCCATTCCAATGTTGTTATTACCTTGTATGATTTATTATAAGTTGGCTATTCAGATTTTACGTACTGACAGGCCTAAATTTATCTCCATTCTCCATGGAAAAATGAAAGCTTATACTTGAAATTTGAATTATCAGGACCACATCAGGACTATGACCCTTCACAACTTATAACACTTGTCTTGATGCTATTTTTTGTTTTGTTTATGTTGTTACCTTTGTTACATTTTCATTTTCTTATATGATGTAATATAAATGAAGTCATTACTCATTATAATGTGCACGTTTACTTTCATCTGTATCATTTTCACTTTCTTTTGAGTTGCACGCATCCGGCATCGCACAAGAACCTCACAGCTTCATGACTTGTCTGTAGGAGGATGACTGGGGTGCATGGAAATGTTCAAGTTACATGTAGTCATGCAAGCTTTTGAAACTTGAGTTTAGATTTTAGAGGCAAAATAGTTGACTGTTTAATGTTTATGTCATAGGGTTATTGAGAAATGAGAGCATTCAAGAATTGAAGTCATGCATTTGTTCAGAATGAGATGGCATTGCCAACAGAATATGTACACAGTTGTACTTAATACTTGATGTATAAGTGTGAGCATTTGTACCTATATCTTGTTGACATCCACCTACATTACATTTGACATGTTTAACACTTCATTACAGGCAGCCAGAAAGTCAAGTCATTGATTTCAGTTCATTCTCACAATGGCAGAATATTCTCATCCATTCCTGAAGTTCCCAATGAATGAAAAAGAATTAGAGGAGCTTGCTCAAAATGAGAGAGATTATCTCCTTCTCCATGGTAAGAATCATAGTGCTGTTTCACCCTAACCATTGTTGCTCAATGCATTAACTTGTCTAGTGTCATGATCCTTTCTGTGAAGGGCTATTAGCTGTGCATGGTTCTTCTATTAGGCCTTTTTTACACATTCAGGCTAAGTATTTCCCTATAAAGATAAAGATAAATCATCATTAATTGAACATGCTAGAAATAAGCAAGAAATAATTTTGAAGACAATATGTAATCTAGAGCAATGTGTACTCAGGCTGAGTGTTGTAACTGATAATGCAACCCAGTAACACTTTCAATAGACCACCTAGTTAACCATGAGTAACTGTTGGTTGTCTTGAAACGAGTTGACCTCATCATACCAATCATGCATATGTAGTGTATACATCTTCTGTGAGCACTGCATCCCTTCCCTTCCTCTCAGGCGGCAGTCTGAGGCTGCGAGAGAGCAAGTCGAACGATGAGGTGCGGTTCGCGCCGTTTTTCCTGTTCCCTTCGCTGTTCCCGGAGCGCGGGTTCCGGCGCGCGCTACTCGTGCAGACTGCCATGAACAAGCTCATGATGGGAGTCGCCTACGATCGCCAGTTTCTCACCCATTGCCTCAAAAAGTAAGAAGTGCACACAGCTGTCCATTGCAATTGGTCCTGTTTGCATACTCTTGTTTCACTCTTGGTTATATAGCCTTGGTTTCAGTGACATAAAGTCCTTTGATGCTGCATGGTGAGGGCCCATTGGTCCACCAAATATCAGAACTTGCAGTTATGCACCAGCACTGAATCAGACTGCTCCTCCCGGGTTCCCTGAGTGTAATGTGGCTTGTTTGGAGAACACCGGGTCCTCGGGAAGTCGCCAGCACCTCCCGTGCCCCCGGATACTCTCGGCCAGCGTGCGTGACACACCTCTTGTTTTGCATGTCCAGCACTATCGAGGTGGACGACTTCACCGCGGGTCTGTTCAAGATTTACACAGCGGTGATGGACGAGGGACTCACGCAGGTAGGTGCTGGCGCCGGGTCAGTGGAAACCGTGTAATGGTGTCGTTACTCCCTGCTGCTTGTCGGCTTCAAGCAGTGATAATTGAGTTTCATAATGGCTTTAACGTAATTTGGTTGTGTGCTTAGCTGGTTAGTTGTGTTATATGCCATCTGATGAGTTGCATTGATATTAGCTTAACTGCTATCGATTCAATACTGCTTCGCTATCAATAGGAAATGATGTGTATGAACATCTCGTATTGACAACATTGTGTGTGCTGTGTATATGAACTACAGACATTCAGTACAAATCAGTCACACATCACGTACATGTCTCACGCACTGTCTATCTCGCGACATCTACCGCAACTGCGAAACCAGACTGTTACATTTCATAATAACAATTATCTAGAGACATCGTATATATCTTACTCTCACCGTGCTCAGTACGGTTTTTGACGTTCACGCTTACGGCTTATCCCCAATTAATAGCATATAGTCAGCAATACCCAGCGATAGGTGCGTATAACTACCATGCATATGTTCATCCGATCAATGTTGTATCACTAATTTTCGCCATCTCATGCTTCGATAGTACGCTACTCACTGGTATCGATTCTAACCGGGGGACCGGCCGGCCTCTGATTTCCGGCCTAGCTTGTAGGTGAGGGGGGGGGGGGGCAGGGGTCATGCCACTCGGCGCGCCCGGCTGGCCCGTTCTCCAATGTTTATTGATCCTGTGCCCGTGGAGGTCGGACCGGTGACCGTCCCAGTTTCGCTGTCACAGTGACGAGCAGTTTTGATCGCCCAGTCACTGTCCCTCAGCGTTTCATGGGCTCGGGATTCGGCACTGTCCTGCTGTGTGATAATGCGATAGGTATCTAGCAATAACAAAATTTAATGCTGAGTTAACGATTTGCAGCATGACAAGCACTTGGGAAGCGATAGTGTACAACTGGCATGTAACGTCATACTTACATTACATTAATGTGAATGGAAGATCACACAGGGTCACGGGATATAAACACCTAGATTATACACATTCGCCCTATACCATCCCCTATACTCTACACCAGGGCCCGTGTATCGCCGCCACTGTCGGTTATGTGTTTGAGCGGTGGTGACCGCACCAGTTCTCACTGCCACGCCCCGCTCGGCGCCTTGTGTATATCCACAGAGCGTCGGCCTCGGCCTGATTCGCAGCGACTATTTTTACGACGTGCGCACCGGCAACGTTAAACAAGTGGAATGCAACACGATCGCCTCCAGTTTCGCCACGATCGCTTCCATTGTTAACGATTGCCATAGGTAATCGCCCACGTTTAGCACATTGAGCACCTCGGGTTTCGAATGGTTAGAGTTGCGAGATCAGAGCAAGACGATACAGGAAATCGTCAGTAAATGGACGGGGAACGTTGTCCGTTTTGCAAAGCTTTTAACGGAGAATACGGAAAATGTGTAAAGTTACGAAAGGAAATATTTCACCTTCGCTTCGAGTATTTCAAACTGAGATAGATTAGCCGACCAGGTACCTTTGCTACTCACATTTCCTCGTTTCTGTTGAGAGGAAGTGGTTGAAAACTCACATAAGTGCTCGTCATTGAGGTAGGTATTCTATCAGAGAGCGAGATGCCTCGCAGAACGGTTAAACCTGGGATGTCTGAAAATCGCATTACCCGTAGTTCGGTCACGAAATCTTCAAAGCTGAAGATATATTATTTTTGGAAGGTGAATTATTTCCTTTAGGTTGTTACGCAACACTTTTTGCCAACGTCCTTAGATTAAGTTGCGACTAGGGTGCTTCGCTTTGTTAGCTGTGCCTTGCGCAATGCACTACCCTTACCTGCCACTGTCTTTTTGGTTTTGACACGGTAACGCTGGTTTAACTTAGGAATCGCTACGCATGCTTATGCTTTGGGGTGTGAAACAATGGGATCATTGACGAACCCACTTTGTCTGCGAATTTCCTTTCCTGCTGCCTGCATGCTTGCATTTCCATGCAAAATGTAATGGTCTCAGTAATGCTCCATAAAAACACGACACAGAAGATATTCTATGCGACAACCCATATGCTGAACGAAGCTAACGTAACGTAAACAACAGTTATGCCTAGTCAAACGTAGATCACATGTAGGTATGCTTAGCGACCATGATAAACATTACCCTAATGTTTCCGGAACTATATTTCGCCCTGGTTATTTTTGCTGTCCACCAAGTAAGTATGGGTACCTACCCGTATGGGTATGGCGTGCAACTGCGTTAGCGGTAAACGCATTTAACGTTGAATAGCTTTGATTAGAAGTTAAAACCCCACGTTCTTGATGTGAACCCTGGTGGCTGTTGGACTTCGTACGTGCGTAATATTTTCCATTTTCCATCGTCGGGCAATCGGTGAGAGGGGAATGCTAGCTAGCAGACTCAGGGTAGAGTCCTTAGTTGTGTTCTGCTGTTATTCGAAAGGTGTTAACATGCATGTCGCTGAAGTGGTCAAAATAATTCAATTGAAATAACGTACATATAGTTAGGCTGCGCTGTACATTGCTGTATTGCGAGTCACCGTAGTGGTTTCCATCCCTTTGTAAATATTCCTGCAATGCCATGATGCGTTTGACCGAACATATCTTCCTGTAGTTTGCCGGAAAATCCTGAATTTTGGGTTGAAGTTTTCTGGATTCAGGTTAAATGGAACCCAGCGCAAAGCTAGAGCACCATCAGCAGTCGCTGCGACGTTCTGCCTAAGGACCAAGGAATGGGCATTTTGGAAGGCGCCGGTAGATGGCAATCGCCACCAGCTCAGTCTTGATGATCTTGAGGCCCATCATAGCATGATGGGCCTACGACACGACTTGCGATTAAATCAGCTTACACCTACGCTTATTACATTTTGTATGATTCAAGAGCAGGGTTTAAAATAACCGTCTCCGCAGAGTTCGATCTGTCGTTGGAGCTTTTGATATGTACCTACTACCTACATATCTTTGTCAGCAGTCGTATCGTCATCCTAGTCAGTCGTATAGAATCTTCTGTATGGTTAACCCTCGCCTGGCCTATTGGTTTTCTACATACGCGCCGGCCGAGGGGGGGGGGCGGGTACGACCCCCTCGCCGTTTCGCCCCTGGTGGAGGTAGCGCGTCGCGGAAAAAAACGAGCGTGTGCGCCGATACGAGATGCAGAGATTGATACTCGATTTTAAGGTCCTAGGTCTACCGGTGACCTCTGAGGTCAGGTCAAGTGCCCCAAGGTACGGTTCCGTTTTTGGTGAATAACTTCGCAAAAACGGCCGCAGAGCCGCGATTGTGGCAGCATCGTGTTCGCCTCGCTCAGGCGCGTCGAATGATGTACTTTTTGTTTGGGTCAGGTCAACTTAGGGTGTTGACCTCAGGTCACGGTCAGGTGAGCTCCCCCAGGTCACGAAATTGGTCGAAGGAGGTCATGTCGCATATCATTCGATGGGCAGGTCTTCCTGAGTGCATTGAAGGCTTTACCAACTTGCTAGCTCAATTTGATCGGGAGTTATTGACGAAAAACTAATATGACCCTAATGACGTCATAAATGACGTCACGCAAGGTCAACATTGCAAAAGGGACGCATGTTGCCTTGCAAGGAGTGCATCAAATCACGATTCTGTGTGCTTGAGATAGTTGGAGATCGTTCCCGGCGCCAGAATAGCAGTTTTCATTTTTCCCCATTGACTTATAATGGTGAGGTCACGAGAATGACCTGACCTCATATGACCTTAAGGAAAAATCCGAGATTACAAGTTGTGAGATTCGTAATGGATACCGGATCCTGCAAGTTTCATTCCCCTGTGAAAGCTCCTCTGGCAGAGGGCGTTGGGAAGTTGCGACATCTGAAGACCGTGCAAAGGTTCACTTATGACGTCATAGGTCAATGACCTGATCTGACCCGAAAATGCGGTTGGTGTCAAAAGATCCGGCTTGAATCAAAGGTCAGGTATGCCAATTTTCAGCTCTCTATCGCCAGCGTGTTTGAAGCTATCGCTAAAAACCCTATGGGGGGAGGGGGCGGCACCCGTTCCCCCCTCGGCCGGCGAGGGTTGAGAGTTTGAGTGCTCCTTGGTCCTTATAATGTTGCGCCGTGTACCCATCCCATAAGTACCGCACAATGCGTAAAAAGTAGGCGATGGACAGATACGCCACATCAGGCATGTCAGATTCATTCAGGTAAATCACGCTCTGCAAACAGCGAGGGTACCTGGAACTAAAGTCGACGTTTTAGGACGCACCTTCTTGCTATTGATTGCCTCCACTGCCATCCGGCCTAACAACTGTTCAATGCTTATTTGTGTAGAGCTCTCCGTTCCTTTCGTGATGACGGGTGCGATCGAGGTATATTTCTGGCTTGGCTGAAAAGGTTCTTCAATAGTGGCTTCTAAAAATTATTCGCTTCAGGTGATTGCTAGTGCTATCCTTCCCCCCTTTGTCGCATTCTCGCTCGCCTAGTTTTGTTGCTTCATTGTTGTTATAATCAGCGTCCCCGAGATGTAGTCTCATTTTCTATCCGCTGGCAGCGCCTGCTTCTAGGCTTTAGCGAGGTTCCTGTGAGTTTCCCCGTTTGGTGAACTTGCGGCAGGACACGCCATTCATTGCTTAGGTGCGGTTTGTCCTGCATTTATCATATCAACTAAACAATTTTGCTCGCTTTTCTGTAATATCGCAGAATTCGCAACACATTGTACGGTTCTCCAGGGTATTAGTCGTAGGTCGCTTGGCGAGCGGGAGGGCAACCAGTTCCGCCCCTGTATCGCGTGACCCCTTGCTCCGCCCAGTTACGCACGAGCGTACTCCACGCCGCGTAGTAGCGTGGGGAGGGGAGGGTTAGAATGGTGGCATGTGTAGAGGCTAGAACCGGTTTCCAGCGCCATGCCACCGCCCAGCGACATGGAGCGGGGTCAGTGACCAGGGCGCAGGGAAAGGTCAGAGGTCAACTATAACGCAGAGCTTTGTGTCTCCCTCCCCTCCGCGTGTAACGACGCACGACAGCGGCCGGCCGCCGATCAGGCTTGACATGTCAAGGTCACCCGCAGTCAACGGGCTCAGAGGGTTGGTCGAGTGCGGGTCCGTGGCTGACGACAGTCTCGACCATGTGCTATGGTGCCGATAGACTAGCGTGGGTAATAAGTTTTTGTTCAGTGCATATGGCTGCTGGGGTGTGTCATCTTGATATATGATGCCTTGTAACGTGTATGATACGCTTAAAACCTCGCTGGCAGTGGCCGAGAGGAGAGGGGGCGGGGGGGGGGGGCGGGTGCCGGTTGAATTTTTTATGACAGCAGCTGTATTTTCACCCTCGCCCATATTGGTGTTTTGCCAGCGTCTATCGTAAGGGGGGAGGGGGGTCCATTAGACCCCTTTGCCGTTCAGTCCTTGATCGAGCTAACGCTTCGCGGAAAAAGAGCGTGTTGCCCGTGACGAGAGGAGGCCGATGATACCCAATAGGTCATTGGTTGACAGGTCAATATATAACTCAAAAGTCGGGGAATCGGGACCTGTTAGAGCTTCGTAAAGTGAAGCTGTTATAGGGTTTTGCGGGGTGCTGATCACGAATTTCAAGATAGTTTTGATCACAGATGATGTTTTCGTGCATCAGGTCACATGTTACGAGGGAAACAAAACTACTTCTTAACCCTCGCCCGTAAACGGCGATCTGCCACCTTCGCCCATGCAGGGGGGGGGGGGTTGGTGCGACCCCCCCCCCCTTGGCGTTTGAAAACGGAGCGTCGTAGAGCTTAGCGGAAAAGACCAACGGATTGCTCTCGCCGAGATCTCGCGATTGGTGGTATATTTTTTGGTCCTAGGTCAACATTTGACCTACTTTTGACCGGTCAAAGGTCAAATTTTCGGAAAAATAGACTTTTTTCAACTTTCCGCGGCGATTGCGGCAAAACGGTGGGAGATATCGACTTGAAACCTTCACTATCGTGTTCCTTGATCAATTCTCTATCGTTTGGTATGTATTTCGTTTCCCTAGCTCTAAAAATGGCGCGTTGGGAGCGCCGGAAGTCGGCAAGGTCACAGTCGGCGGCAGAAATTCGAAAAATCAAAATTTAAATTTTTGAAATCTGATTGTATTTTTGGATTTGGAAGGTCCATTTGCTCCCTATAGAAGCTAATATTGCTGCATATTCCCATTGAGGTGACAAGAATTAGCAAAATAGTGGTTCGGGCGCTTTTCAAAAATAGTACCGGACGCTGTTCCTCTTGTGACGTCATAGCTCCGTGACCTGACCTGACCCGGTCAAGTTTCTTATACCATATGATAGCCAATACTTGCCTCAACATGCATG